GGGTTTATCACTGATGAAAGTCCCCACAGGTGCAGGGAGAGCTGTGGGTGACCCTGGAGCTGAGTCCCTGGCACGGAGCCCTGCCCATCACCTCTCATTAGGGCCATCCCCCCGTTAGTGTTTTAACACCCAGATGGGCCCTGGGAGGGTTTGTGCCACCCCTCAAGAGCCATGTATCACACTGGCCCAGTGGGGCTGAGGTGACAGCTCCCATTGGACCCCCAGCATGGAGGATGTGAATGGTGAAAGAATCCTCAGGATGGTTTGGGTTGCAGGGACCTTAAAGCTCAGCCATTCCACCCCTGCCATGGACAGGGACACCTTCCACCACCCCAGGGTGCTCCAAGCCCTGTCCAACCTGACCTTGGGCATTTCCAGGGATGGGGCAGCCACAGCTTTTCTGTACCAGGGCCTCACCTCCCTCACAGGGAAGAATTTTTTCCCAAAATCCCACTTATCCCTGCCATCTGGCAGCATGAGGCCATGCCCACTCATCCTGCCATTCCACAGTCTTGTAAATAATCCCTGTCCATCCTTCTTGTAGGCCATGGAGGATGCTCATGATGTTCAGCTCTGTGAACTCCCCATGGCTGCCAGCCCCTTTAGGGGGACACACATCCTGCTCCCTGCCACACTCCCAGCCCCAGGCTGGCTGGAGGAGGGCACATGGAAAGTAACAGTTCATTAAATATCATCCACTGCTCTGTGGAGAGCATCCACTCTCTGCTGAGAGAGGGAACAGCAAAGAGTTTGGCCAAGCTGAGACGGGCATTATTTGATTTATAATTTAAATAAAGCTCAGGATTCCTGTAATGTGCCCAGGATAAAATCAAAAGGGACCAGGCTGCTGGAGTTAATTGGATGTGATATTTTCCTGAGGATGCTGCTTCTCCACAGGCTCCTGCTCCTCTGCTGGAGGCAGGAGGCACAGGCAGGGCTGGAAGGGCTCTGGCACCTTCCTGCATCCTCCTCAAGGCATGCCAGGCTGGTTCCTATGAACAGCCTTAGGATTACTGCTGGTAACAGCAGCAAAGTCACCTCCAGCTTTATCAGGATGGATTTTGTGGGATGCTCCAGGCCTGCTGGGATGCAGCCACACCGACGTGGGGGGCACAGAGGTGGGGGACAACAACCAGCAGGAAAGGCCAGGGGTAGAACCAGGGGGTGAAGGCACCAGCAGCTCCCTGCACAGGCAGGAAAATGAGTCAGCTCACCTTTTACGTGAAATTAATACCAAAATTAATCAGCGGCGCGGGCAGGATAATAGGATTTCACAGTGGTGCCGGGCCAGACGGCCAATGTGCCGAGAGCCAGACTCATTTAATATCGACAGAAACAATGCCAGAGGACAGAAATAAGACCCATAAAGATAATTACTGAGATACTCAGGAGCAAATTAAGTAATCAGAGGCACTTCTAAATTGCGCCTGGTTTGAAGAGCGCGCTCTCCGTGCCGATCCCCCGCGCCCGCATTCCGGTGGCAACGGGAGCTCGGCTCCCAGCCCCTCCACCCTGCTTCCCACAGGTGCCATAAATAAGGGAGGGAAAATTGTATTCCAAGCCAGATGCGTGGCCCTGGATGTCACCTGCAATTTAATTTGTGCTGGCAGGAGGCAGAGAGGAGCGAGACGTGCTGGATTTGCCCATAATGAGCGGAAACACACGAGCAGCTAAACTTTGATTAAGGTGACCTGGCTGGTGGAGCGGGTGGTGAATGTGCTGTGGGGGTCCAGGTGGGAGCTTGGCTGCTGCCACCCGTCCTGAGGGACACAAGTCTCTTGGAGAGCTCAGGTGAGCACGGTCGTGCCCGAGGGATGGGGTGAGACCGGTCAAAAACTCTGTCTCCTGGGCACTCAGCACCTGCCAGGGTCTAGGGTAGGGTCAAACTCCTGCCCTCATCCCACAACTCCAGGAGCACCAGGACCCTGGGGCTGGGACCCTGCCAGGACACAGGCATCTGTATCCAGGAGCATCTCTCACACCCACAGCACCATATGTGACACCACATAAGGGCCCTGTTTCCCAAACCTCCTTATTTCAGCACCTATGGCACGGTGGGAAATGCTAGAAAGCACCAACCCCCCGCAGCAGGAAGGTGGCTCTGGGTTCTGTTTATGAGCTCCGAGCTGCATCCAGGGAATGCTGTGGGGACCAGCAGGTGTATCCTGACCTCAGGATCACAGTGAGCTCACACAGACATTCTAGATGCTGAACACCTCCAGAAAACCCAGTCAGGCTCACCCTGCCCGTGGGTCTCAGACCATGTGGGCATGGCTGAGCTCATTATTCCATGGCAACGAGGTGCTCCAGGAGCCAGACACCTCTCGCCAGCCCTGTGCCGCCGCGATGCTCAGGCGTGATGGATTATGAATAATTTTACAACAGCAGCATCCTTTTTCCTTCCAGACACCAATAAGGAGAAGGTACCACATGCTCCAGTGCAGTGCAAGCTGCACTGTGACATCTCAGTGCCCAAAAACCCACCACTGGCCTGAGTGTCCCATTCCCTGTGCTGGCCACAAAAATAATGGAATCCAGAATGGTTTGTGTTGGAAGTGACCTTAAAGATCATCCATTTCCCCCACCTGCTCCATCCCTGTCCAACCTGGCTGTGAACACTTCCAAGGATAAGTTTCAGGATAAAAGAACTTTCAGGGATAAAATAATTTCCAAGGATAAATAACCCTCCTGGCTGGCAGTGCAATGCTGAAGCGATGCTGGGGGTCCCCAGGGAGGCTTAACATCGTCCAAAATCCGTGCCCAGCTTGCCCAAACCCCATGCCCAGCTCACCTGGCTGCTCAGGGTACCCAGGTAGAGAGGAAAAGAAAAACGTCTCTGGGGAAATCCAGCTCATTAAACAAACACCCGGGGGCTGTCACAGCCTAACAAGCAGAGCTTTAGCAGCTGATTTGTCTTCAGCCAGCAATGTTTAAAAATCCAACTGAGACCAGCAGAAAAATATCCACTCCCCTCTTTAAAACACACATTCATCACTTGAGAATCTTAATGCGTCTTTCCCAGCCGGGGAGGTCAAACACGCCTGCCTAAAGCAGGCTCATTAAATATACATTTAATCACGGTTTGGATTGAGAGACAAAGGCTGGGAGAGACAGGTGCTTTGCTGGAGTGACCTTTTGGATCCCATTTTAATGTAACTAGTTTACAGCTTATCTGAAAGGCCAGCTCCTGGGGAAGGCGAGCTGTGGCAAAACGGGGAAAGTAATTAGGGGGGGAAGGGCCGGGGAGGTTTGGGGGGCCGACTGCACCGTCCTCTGCCGCAGCCACGCTTCCCAGGCAGCTCTGCAACATTTGCTGAAGTTGGACTTATCAACCACAGAACCCAATTTAATTTGCTTATCTTGGCTCCTTCCTCCCCCTCTCCTCCCAGCTTCTCCTGCTCTTTTTAATTATCGGTTAAATAAATGTCTTTTTCAATAAAGGAAACAGCATCAAAGCGGGCGCCCGCCCTCGGGCACTTACACTTGCGTGGCTCCAGCGCCTTGTTGGGGCAGGGGAGGTGCTGGGCTGGGGGGTTCTGGGTCCTCTGCAGGCAGGCCAGCATGGTCTGGGCTTCTCTGCGGGCGCTGCCGCCCCGCACCCTGCGAGAGAGGAGACACACGGTGAGCCAGGGACCCGCCACCCCTGCCACCACCCCCTGCCACCGTCACCTGGCGGGAGCTCCCCAGCACTCAGTGCCTTTGCTCCTCTGGAGATAAACAACTAACTCTGAAAGACTGAAATGAATAGGGATGTATATAAAATAAATATGAAGGTCTCAGCGGGTGATTTGTGCCTCCTGCAGAGCTTTCCACCCTTCCCACCGGGAATGTGGCAGAGCTGTGGCGTCGTGGCAGTGCCAGACCGCTCCGCCAGTGTGCCAGCCAGTGCCTCCTGGCACGGAGTGACCCCAGCCAAGGCTGCGGAAAGACAGTCCTAACATCCCACTGGGGTCCGGGGAATCTGTCGCCAGCTCCCAGCTGGCATCAAAATCTGCTCAGCAAAAGCTGGAGGGGTCAGGCCAAAGTCGTCGTCACCACGGTGCTGCTCATTGTACATCCTTCCCCCGCCGGGGCCCCGAGTTATAACCAGTTGCTGCTGACACCCTCCCACTGCTCTGGCTGGCGCAGGGAGTGATGTTCCCACTCGGAGAGGGCAGGGAGACGTGGGCAGGAGCAGCAGAAAAGCAGGCGTGGTGCCCATCCACCAGAGTTTCAGCTCCTGTGCTGTTGCTCCTTGGCTGAACGTTCATGGATGGCTGGAGGTCACAACTGCACATCGTGGACGGGTGTCACTGCTGGGTACATCATCACTCCATCTTCTCCGTTTGAGGGGGGAATTGTGTTCTCCTGCAGGCACCCAGGATGTTTCCTGCATGTCCCAGTGCTGGCACCGGCGTGCAGGGGTGTGATGTGGTGGCCTCGGGCACGTGGTGGCCTCGGGCAGGCACTGACAGAGCCCTTGACCATCAGCACCACGAAACAAAGCATGGATGGACGATCCCTGAGCTGTGCCCAGGGCTCCCCAAGCTCTGCTGGTTTAAATGTCACTCTTCAAAACACCTTCAGCCACCACGGGCACAGACAACGGGACGTGTGCTGCTCGCTCCTGCTCTGTGCCCTCCACCAGGCAGGGGGTGCCAGGCTCTGGGATAATCTCCAGGATGGGATCCATGCACGGTGTCCATGCCTCAGCTGGGCTCATCAGGCTCAGGGTCGAACCCTGACTCCCTCAGCAAACCAGGGACAAGGAGAGACTCGTCGGCAAAAGGTGTGAGGAAGAGGAGGAGGAGGAAGAGGAGGAGGAGGAGGAGGGGAGGAAGTCATCTAATACCGAGCAGGTGTCTGGAGAACCCAAATTGTGCTGTTTTCTCCTAATAATGAAGTATTCATGAGTAAAAGCCTTTTTCACTACTTTCTTAAGATACTAATTTCACAACAAGCGCCTTGTTACCATGCAATTATTCCAATCGTGCATTTCTCCCAGATTCCATCTGTCCTCGCGCTCTCTAAATGAAAGACAATCATGTAACCACCTTTCATTATTCACTATTTTACTTTCAGCAAAGGTACCCTGAAAGAAATGATTTCCTCTGAAAGGGACTTTTATTCAGTTTCAAAACCAATTTTCTCCTATTACTGTCTTAAAAAAAAAAAGGGAGGGGGGCAGGGAGGTGTTTTTATTTCATGCATTACATATCCTTTGTTAACGCAGCTCGCAGTAAAAGCAGCCGTATCCATTTTCTGGCTTCGATTTCTGGTAATTTTAAAATATGCCATTACAATCAGGCAGAAATTATACAATTTGAAAAGAGAATGAAGTGCTTCTTATTCAGAGCCTGAGCGCACTTGACTGCCAGGAGTTCTCCTCTCCCCGCTGGGACTCGGGGTTCATTACGCAGCCTCAGCTCCCCCGGCGTGTGCCCAGCGCCTGGATTTTCCATGATGGGAGCTGCCACCCTGACCTTGTCCCCATCCCTGTCCCTGTCCCTGAGAGGTGGCCGTGGATCAAAGCACCCACAGCGGTGCAGGGGATGGGTGACAGCACCCTACCTGAGCCTGAGCTCCATGGTGACCTCAGGGCTGGCGTCCTGCTGGCTGTCACCATCTGGCCGATTAGTGGCGGACGTCACCTGCTCCCTGCACTGAGGCGGCTCCTCAGGGGACACTGACCTGCGTCCCTGGTGGACACGGGCAGTGTGGGAGGATCGTGCCGCTGCCAGATGCGGATCAGGTCCCTGGTGGTGCCTGTGGCACGCAGGGCTGAGAGCAAGGAGGAAGCACCCAGGGGCTCACCAAACCCATGTGCTGCATGCAGCCTGGCACCCTGAGGGCCCAGCAGGTCCCTGGGGACACCCCCATGCTGGCACAGGGTGCCCCCAGCACTGCTCTCTGCGCCTTGCCATGCACAGCCCAGCTCCCTCCTGGAGCCATCCCGACCCTGGGCACGGATCATCATCGGCAGCCGGCGGGGGAGGCGCGGGAGCCACACGCCAAACTGAATAAAGCCACCGATTAATTCAGACCCTGCTGCTGCCCCCGTCTCCCGGCGTCTCGCAGCCGAGATGATTTTTCCGACAGCTACGCTGAGCCTCGCTCCACCTTCACAGGCAGGCTCAGAACCGGGAAAGCTGCGGTGCCACAACCCCAGAACAGCATCCATCTGTCCACCCCGGCACCCTGGCGGGAGCCCCAAGCCCCAGAAGGCCCGTGGGCGAGCGGGTGGGCGCCTGGCACAATGGGCATCTGTGCCACGGTGGCATTTCGCTAATGCTGCTCCGAAAAGCCCCTGAATCAGCTGATGGGAATTGGGCGCTGGGCTGTCCAACGCTTAGCGCCGGCTTAGTTAGCTCCATCTGCATTTGAACTAATTCCAATCAGCAGGATCCGATTTAGTTCAAGCTGCTCTGGCTCTTTCGTGGCAGGGAAGGCAACACTCAGCAGTTTTGCTGGAACGCCCCCGAGTCCGCACAGCCTCTGCCCAGGCTGTGCCCATGGACCCACCATCATCCAGCATTGGGGCACAGGGTGAGCCCCACCACCAGTGGGGTCCCTTGGAGACATCTGGAGAAAGATCCCCCAGGAGCCCCCAGTCCCATATCCCACAACTCTGGCATCACAGAATCACGGAATTTTGGTATATTAAAGCCCATTCTGTTCCACTCCCTGCCATGCACAGGGATGTCTTCCACGAGACCAGGTTGCTCCAAGCCCTATCCAAAACGGCCTTGAACACCTCCAGGGATGGGGAAGCCACAATTCCATCGTTCCCCTCTCCCACCACTTCATCCTACCCCACACCCAGCTAATCCATCTCGACATCGCACTATTTATAAGCCCAAGGTCTTTGTGACTTTAATAAAAAACACCACCCTCTATGTCTAAAGCCCCAGTGATGGGAGGGTTTGGCACCTCCTCTGACATCAGCAGCTGATAAGTCGGGCTTATCTCCTCCGAGAGCCCTGCGAAGGTCCCTCCCGCGAGATAAGGCCAGCGCAGCTGTCGATAGAGGCTTTTGCAGGCGAGGATTTAGATAAAAGAAAATGTGATGGGAGGGGGGAGAAAAGAAAAGAGGAACTTTTAAAGTCTCAGCCTGAAGTGGGTCTGTGTAGCTGCCGAGCTGTGGCAGGGCAGGGATGGTGAGGGACAAGGTCTTGGTCACCATCCAGGCTGTAGTGGAACACGTCCAGATCCTTCCCTGGGTGTTATTGGGGTGCAATCCCGTAAAAAGGGGGCTTTTGGGGTTAGGAGAGGAAAGGAGGGCAGGACCAGCGATGCTGCAAAGCTGTTTGAGTCACACCATGGCTATGTTCCCCTAAAAGCCAGCACAAGGACAGGAGGAGAGGGTCACCCTGTCTGGGAGAGGCACAGGAGGCTCCTGACAGACAGACACACGGACAGCGTGGGGCGAGGCCAAGGCTGGCAGCAACCAGAGAAACAAAGCAAAAACCCTCACTGGCTCCTGGTGTGCAGAGTACACCCAAAGTACCACTGGGAACAGCCCTGCCCCTCGTCCCTCCACAGATGAAGGAGAATCCAACCACACCAACAGGGAGCTCCCCTTCCTCACAGCCCTGGGGACATCGGAGCTCCCTCTCACCTCCCCTGCCACTGCCACCACCACCACTGGTCCCATAGACACAGATTTTTTTTTCTGATTTTGGCGAGTGAGGAGGTGCCAGAGGAGGAATGATTCCCCTCTGCACACAGTGGATGCCCACCCCACTGCAGGGCGAGCGGGATTTTGGCTGGTGCTGCTGCCTGACGCTGCCATCTCCCATCCAGATTTAGGATGGAGGGGATGCAGCGATGCCACAGCTCTGCCCTACAAGGGCTGAGCACAGGAAGGTCACCCCACTGTGAACCACGGGGAGCATCAGGTAAAATAAAACCCGAAGTTTGTCACCAAAGGTGCCGCCGGTCACCCCACGACCTTCCCTTGCCCGACCTTCCCTCATCCCGCCTGGCTAATCCGCTCCCCTCCGCGTGCTCCAGCCCCGGGCCTTTCAGGGGGCCCTGTTAATAATTAAATGTTAATCTAAAAAGCAATTTTAGCTGCAGTGCTGCAGATCTGGTTAGAGATTACATTAGCATGTAAGAGTCAAGGGTAATTTTCTCTAACCCCTCTTGTGATCTTTAAAACCCGCAGATCTTAAAGCAACACCAGCTCCTCTGATTAAAATTGGAAGCTGGGGTTTGCGATGGATAATGATGCTGGAAGTGATTATTTTGCTGCTCAGGGTCTCGCTGGGATGTGGGGACTGTGGGGGGCTGGGGGAGAGACCCAGAGCAGCCAAGTGGCTTCTCTTAGCCCATGCTCTGTGGAAATGCTGGGAAGGTGCTGGGGCGAGCCCCAGACTCAGCACTGAGCAGAGCTGTGACACTCTGAGCATCCCCATTTCCCACTTTTTTGGGCTTCTGTGACACCAGGATGGCACAGAGCCCACCAGCCGTGGCACAGTGCCAGGGACAGAGTGGCACTGGACCAGGACCCTCACTGCTGGCATCCTACAGCAGCATCTCGTCTCTCCCATCCCACTCAGAGATGAGGTTTCTGCTCTTGAGGCAGCTTCAA